AGTGATATGGGCATCCCCTGTAACCCTAATCCCAATCGCGGAAGTAATATGAGAAGGGGATGCCCATATCACTATAACATTGCCACCTTACAAACGACAAAGAAACTGGCTCGTGTTAACTTTCGCAAACATTTCTGCGACTGTTACTGGGGATTCGCCATTTGCACATCTCCCATATGCATAATACACCTTTTTGCCCCCCAAAACTTTGCATAACCTTTGTTTTTCATTTCTCCCGGGTATTACAGTCGTCCCAAGAGTAATAAAAGACAATGCTTGTACAAAATTTTGGGGGCACACTAGGAGCATTATGGGAGATGTGAAAATGGCGAATGGGGAAAAAAATGGCCAATAGCTATCCGGTCCGTTACCAGTAACGATCCCAAAGGTCCTTGCGGAAGCTAACTCGGCTCAGTTTCGGTCTTGCTTCTACAGAGGTGAACTGAAAACTCCTCGAAGGATAAATGACAACATACCACGGGAGGTCCGCCGTGCAAGGTGAGGTTTTAACGCTGATTTGGGTGGCGCCTCATCCAACAACCTAGTGCTTACGTCAGCAGTCGCTGTTAATGCTTTGGTGGCTGAGTCACCCGGCGGACCCTCTTTATCAGATGCGGCTTCACCATCAGATTGCTGAACGGCTGCTTCATCTTCAGATGGCTGTACGTCAGAAGATGAATTATCCTACAGCCAAACATGTTATAGTAATTTGTTTAGTCACATAAAATGACAACAGCAAAAACAACAACCAAAAATGTATAACGAAAACATCAAGAGTCTCTTCAAGACATTTGGTAATAAATGACGTCTGTGAAGGCGGCTAGCCACATACAAGAACGTAAGAAATGTCGGATGACGTTGGGTGAAAATATGAACTCATTGTAGCCTAATCAAACATCAGCCAACACCATCCAATATTGCTCAGCAAGATCTTAAACACAATCGACGACATTGAACCTGAATAATAGATCAATTGGGACTAACGTGTCGAGTCTGTTATATTACTAGCCTGCGAGAAAGCTCTGCTATTTGGGCAAGTGAAGCGAGCCTCCCGAGAACGCGCGAGCGACGGGCCAAGGAAAGGAGAGCTCTCCTTTCCTCTACCCCTCGCGGCTTTGCCGCTCGCTCGCGCGTTCTCGCGAGACTCGTTTCACTCGCCCAAATAGCAGAGCTTGCTGGCAGGCTATTATATTACTACTGGTTACTACCAAAACAGGTAGACCGCGATACGCGTGATGGTTGATTTTGTGGCCAAGCGTTAACGACCAAGGTCACGTGGCTTTGTTTGTCAAACTTACATAAAAACATCCTTGGGCATTTCGTCGGCCAAGTCAAGCAAAGGCGTTCTCTGTCAAACAAAAGGGACGACGTTTTGTGTTCAAGTCAGTTTATGATAGTTTTTTCCGGTTGCAGCCTGGCTTCCAGGGCCCAATAACTTTGATGCGCCAAGACAGTCATGAGGAAGGAACGTGATCAGGGGCGGAGTTCACCTTTTTAATTTAATTGACAAACAAAGCCACGTGCGTGACATAAGTCGAACAGGGAGCTTAAGCAACGACGACGGCGACGGCAACGAAAACGACAAAAAAGCAATTGGTTTAGATTGGCAAACCAACAACACTGTACGTGCATCACGCTTTTTAGTACACTTCTTTGCCGTCGCTGCACGACTACAACGTGAAAGTGCCTAATCTGACGTTTTGTTGAGGACGTGAACACCAAAGAAAACGACTTCTTCCTGAACTTCATGAACAGTCTTTTAGAATTCAGCACCAGAAAAATTTGCCAGCATTTGACGAATTGAACGAGTTGGAACAAGCGCGACAAAGTTTGAAGTAGCGCGAATTCACTTTTTAAGAGACGTTTTCGTAGCTTCGTAGCCTGCGAGCAAGCTCTCCTATTTGGGCACTAAGCGAAGTGAGCCTCGCGAGAACGCGCGAGCGAGAGGCTTCGCCGCTCGCTCGCGCGTTCTCGCTTCACTCACTTCACTCGCCCAAATAGGAGAGCTTGCTCGCAGGCTAGTAGCCTCGCCGTCGTTGTTGCTTAAGCTCCCTGTTAAAGCTGTTTTTGAGCAACGCACGTCAACCGGAAGTGGACTTTTTGCACTGTTTGGCAGTGATTCTGAACAAATTCTTGGGCAAATTGTCTCTTTAAGAGTAAAGACACTTAGCAATACAAATTTGGTAGCCTAAAGGCATATTAAAGGAGAAAAAAGTTCACTTCCGGTTGACATGCATTGCCCAAAAACGTTGTTGCTTTATAAACTCCCTGATATTGCTAATAACGTGTCTATTTCTCGCTAGGTAACTTGACGTTAGCGAAGAATTTTTTTTTTTATCTCTCTCTTTCTCTCAAAGCATTATATCAAACATTGCAAGCAACCAAAATTAACTTTGAAAAACGTCTACGCTGACATGTTTTCAAAAACCGCAAACGCAATCCTTTCTAATCTTCTTCAAGTTCGTCCATCCGTGCCTTATTTTGCTGTATTATTTATGTCTTCTCTCAATGTTTTAAGCCGTTATTTTATGTTCAACAAAAATTTGGTGGCAGCTGTCCTGTAGAAATTGATAATCTCGTGGCACAGATCCTGTAACGTCTGGAGTCAAAATCAACGGTCACGCGCATTTGTCGACGTTCGGTAGTACCTACCTCTGGGGATGTGGTACCTGATGACTCGGTTGGACGACCATCCACACTGCTGGGCGCTGTTGGCTGTGGCGCGGGCGCAGGTCTACAACAGGTGCAGATCATGCTGATTTTTTCCCACAGAATCTTGTACCATGGGACCTCGTTGTCCTTCTTGGTTTTTTCTTCCCTCGTTCCTAAAAAAAGCAAACGGAAAAGTATTTGCTGGAAATATCTCAGCATAGAGGAACAGTCCAAATTATAGCCCATAAAAGCTGCAGGTAATTGTTACTCCAACAGACCTTATTCAAGATAACTGCCATCTTTGTAAGTGGATCAAAAGTAATGTCACGCGGTTTCTCAGGAGGGTAAACAAGTGAAAAAAACTGCCAATGCAAGAAATCGCGGTCAAGTTTGTTTCTTCTAGACAACAGAAAATGAAGAACTTTTTACCTTGAAGACGATAATGGCAAATTATGGGTGAAAGTGATCATTGCTTCCTTTCTGGACGCAGTAGCGACCGTAGATGTCCTCACAGCAAACAATAATGAGGTAACACTTGTCGAAACTCGAACTGTACATTTTGCAAGACTAAAATCGTCGTCTAGTTTTCAGCAATAGTATTGGCCAATTTTATCATGCACTTGATTGCCCCCGAAATACCCATTAATCCTAAAGCACGTACAACGATGGCGGGTATCGTGAATAGGGTCGATTGCTAGAAAAATATACGCGTCCTTGACTCCTTGTCTTTTTTGTTTTGAGTAAACCTCCAAAATTTAGTTTTAAGCTTTTTATTAAGTTAAAGCGTATTTGGGTAGCCCTGGACAATATTACAATGGACTAAATACTAAAAAATGGCTTGAAATGGTTTCAAAAATTCTTCCTCTAGACTTCAATGCATACTGCGCTTCCATGATAATTTAATTAATAATGATGTCTCATTAATTTTTTGGCACCGGTTGTAATGCATGCCCGGGGAACAAAGTTTTCTACCGGGAGGCTCCGCCACGAGATCTAACCCGTTACCCTTAAAAGCCACTTTGACGGAAAAAGTGCCCCTTTCGTATACCCTTCACTGACAAATGGTACCCCGTTCATATTCCTAGTTTAGAACTGTGCATCCTTTTTAACTGCTCAAATGCACTATCTTTAAATCACAAAAACAGGAAATTTTCCCACAGCCCTACTAGCCCTATTAGGTCTTTTTACAGACCGAAATGACAGATTTCCCTCCCCTTTATACCTCAACTAGTGAAATCCTTACCCTTTCATATACCTGCAGCCTAAAAAAGGTATCCCTTTCGGCCGGAGCCTCACCGTACAGGTCATTATAGGGAGCATCCCCCCGGGGATGCATGTAGGATTCGTCGATTGAGAAAGGCCAGTCGAAACAAGAGTTAATTGCGACCCCTGAGGATCGACCCCAGAACAAATCAGCCGAAGGCACTTGATTCCAACAGCGATCTTTCCACGTACTTAACGACTGTAAGTAGGTTCGGCATATGAAGAACTCCAAATAGACCTTTTTACCGATACGGCGGCCATATTGAATTAATTCGATTTAAGGAGTGTTATAGGATGCCCAGAGGGCATGAGCACATTTCGTTTGTATTTTCGGGTGCTTTTCGGGACATTTTTTCTTAAAGTTTTCTTAGAATAAGATTGTAATGGGAAAAAAGATCCTTGTGCCGTGTTTGGATGTAATAATGAACGTCTTTTTCTAGTTTACTATTAGAAATATAGTCTTTCACTGTACATTTCTCGGGAAAAAGGCGATCATTTGAACTGGACGGTGAAAGCCGAGAGAGGGAGTACTCAACAAAGTTTTGTGTAGGAATACTCCGACCCGACTTAAGTAACAAAAATACTTCTTATTGAAAATGATACCTCTCTAATACACCTTCAGCGAAAAACACTGCATTGTTTAAATTTGAACTCCTGGCATCTTAAAATATTATTCGCCGGTTGATACGTCTGAATTCTGAATGCTGAATTCTGAATCTGAATTCAAATTTTGCACTAATTCTGGCTTAACATACCCTGCTTTGAGCAACCCGACTCTAAACTTAGCAATAATAATGCTTATAATAAAAATCAAGTAATAACGACTTTATTCAGGGCATGCATTGGGTGGTTCTTCGCCTGAACTAATTAGCTAATTAACACTAAAACTTACAGTAGCTATTACCAACTACACTATATACACTATAATAAATTAGTATTCTAAGAATATATAAAATGCTATTACGAAATATGAAATATACCTACATTAGACTGGCAATTCAAATGTATGAAACCGCGCACGAAAGGAAACAACATGAATAAATAAATAAAAATAAATTAAAGAATGAATAAAGATTAAAATAATAGTAATAACAGCCAACGTACTTACCCCATGACCTATCTGTTATGTTGCAAATCGAGTAAATAATCAGCAAGAGATAACCGGAGGGTAGAAAAAACAGATACCATATGCCGTGAATCAAACAGTATGCTTCCGTAAGGTGTAAAAGACCTGCCAAAACAAATATACCGGCCAGTCCTGCAAGATACATCGTGCTAACAGCGGCTGGAAGACTTTCACCTAGTGTGAGAGAGGTAGCTGTTGTTAGAGTGGTGGGTGCTGATGATTTTGACGTGCTAACAGCGGCTGGAAGTCTTTCACCTAGTGCGAGAGAGGCATTTTTTGTTAGAGGGGTGGGTGCTGATGATTTTGGTGTGAAGTTTCTGGACCAAGGACGGGTTGTAGGAGCTGGCGTGGAGGTGGTCGGATGCGCACGTTCGTAAAGGTCATCACCAATCTGTGCGGCCACGCCCACCGTCACGTAAGCCATCAGCAGTGCAAAGACCACCGCCAAAAGTTTGGCAACTTTGAGCTGGAACTCTTGAGAGGTGTACAAACAAATCACACCATATCCGACTGTTGTCAATGAAAGAAGCGCCACAAGAACTGCGTTGTCGTCAATGAAGAAATTGGCATAAGATAAACCACTAGCCATGACAAGGATTACTGTTGAAGGGCTGTAAAACAGAAGAGAAATTTTTGTTCACACCGTGGAAACTCTCATCCACACAGTCAACCCCCCCCCCCTGGGGGGGGGACCCCCTTATATAAGCTTTATAGGTATGTGCCCCCACAAAGGGTATGGTTTTTCGCGCCTTTTTGGTCTGAAAACGGGTACAGAATTTGCCCATTTTGGTCTGGAAACGGGTATGGTTTTCGACGGAACTACGGGAGTGTATGAACTATTTATCGTTTCAATTCCAACTGAGTAAATAAGAAAGAGAAATGTGCGAATTCGAAATGGATTTCAAGAAATTTTTTTTGCTGCTGTTCTTATCTACGTAAAGACCTTAAAAGTCAGGTCTGAAAATGGGTGTGAAAAATGACATTTTTTGGTCTGAAATAGGGTCAGGATTTGGAGAACCGGGCGGCACACCCCCACCAAGAATTTCCAGGAGTACCCCCCGCGGAATCAAACCTCTTGTAAGCGGAGATCTTCTAGACCGGGGGTAGGTGATCAATTACCTGAGGTTGGACAAATCTCATGCACTTTAAGGGGTAAACTTAAAAGATGGAAATTTGTCGTGTAGCTAAGAAATTAAACCACGTTTTACAACTTGCCCCGTTTTGCGGCTTCTGTTTCACAAAAGAGATGGTGCACATTACAAGACATTGAAAAGTTGTCGGGATTTGGCGTATATTGTTTATTTTGGCGTATACTACAACTTTAGGCATATTGCGTTGCATTGAGCAGTTCACAAGTAACTTCCAGTTCATACTATGTTGGGCATCGCTACCTTGAAAAGGGAGCTTTAGCATCGACTACTGCGACGGCAGTGAAAATGTCACATTTAAAACGAATTTGCTTCTTTTCATACTTTGTAGCGTTTCTGCCATCTCGCTTAAGGTGCCAAATGAAGCTGAATTTCCCTGGAGTTGAAATCTTAGGCTCCGCACTCAAGTTTAGAGAGAGAGAAAGTTATAAAGTTCGTCGTCGTGTTTTTACGTCCTTCATTAAACGACGAATGAAGTTCGCATAAAGGATTTTCACGCCATAACTATGCATGAACGGCAAAGAAATGTTCCCAAACGTGTGCTGCACGTGGAGAATTGTTGTTTTGCCTATTAAAGGGGCTGTATCACGGCAGTCCAGATCATTTTGTTTAATTTTGGCAATTACTCACCCTCAATCGCTATGGAACTTAAAGTAAGCAAAGAAATTACAAGTAAATGACAAAGCCAGAGATTCGAGACAAACAAATATGTCTCCCGAGCATTATTTTTGAAGTTGCAAATAGCAGAGATAAACTTTGAAAAACTGTTAGGCTGAACAGTTTTCAAAAACCCTAATTTCAATCTGTTTCAGTCTTCTCCAGTTTTGCCCATCCGTGGCAACTGTTGTATCTGTTGTGTTATTTTAACCTTCACTTTAATGTTTTAAGTGGTTATTTCTATGTTTCTCTTGGATTTAACGGGCATTTTGTAATACCAAATTTGGCTGAATTTCGTGACATATCTCGTTTAACACTTTTGCTTTTCTGACCTTCTCGTTGCCTTCGACCGGTTGTCGTTGCTAAGGCGCCCCAATGTTAGGCCTAGGATACAGTGAGAGCCTCTGTCAAGCCACTGTGTGAGGTAGGGGGTGGGGTCAGTCCCCACCATGTTTTTATCTTAGCCCAGTCCCTGAGAAGCAATCTCGCCGGCTTGGCTCGGCTCTTATTACTACACGAAGGTCTGTTTAGCAGCCAAAAGTATCGTTTAGTCGTTGGCGAAAAGCGGCTAAGAAACCCCGCACTTAGTCAACGGGAGATCCCTTGAATAAACCAGTGAGGGGCAAGGATTTTACTGTATTTCTTAAGTGTAGAATTACCACGCGAAAGGAAAGTACACAAAAGTGACCCTGTCTTCAGAATTTAATTCCGAAATAAATACTTCTTCTTTCATACCTTATTTACAGAACGACAGTGAATTTTTTCACATTTACCCAACAAAACCCGGCATTAAAACGTCCAACCAGCCACCAACTTCTTTCAAAATGCTTTTTCTTTACCCTTAGTGTCTCTATTGGCTGCCACCTTCTGAAAAAGTGGCCGGAAGAGTCTTGATGTTTCCAGTACTACGATGTAAGCATTTTCACCCATACGTTCAACAGGATCAACAACTACTATCATTTGACATAACAAACCTGATAATTGTAGAAAAAACCATCAGAGCTTGGTACAGAATGAAAAAAAATGAAATATGGTCATTGTTATTCACGGTTAATTTCCACTCGCTTATCAGAAGCAGAAGATTGGCAAGGGTGGACGGAATCCAACGACGCCTCTGTTTGAAGAATTCATCAAAAGTGTCTGGACAGAACGTGCTGTCCTCAGCTGCCGCACAATATTCTAGGCGCCAACCTGCTTGGACCATCAGCGTACAAAGCCAACGATCTTCACCTAAAGAGAGGTAATGAGAACATAATGACTCTTTGGCGAGCTTACCCCAAAAACTATTTCTCCCTTTTCTGAAAAATATTAATTGAAAGTTAGCTTCATTGCACCCTAATTAAGGAGTGCAGCTAAATGTCGTGGGTAGTGGGTAGTGGGTGTGGGTGTGGGTCGTGGGTGTGGGTAAATGTCGTGGGTAAAAAAAAAAATTCCGAAAAAAAAATATTTAAATAGCAATATCAAGAGTCCTATTCCTCTTCCCCGCTGTCGCAAAGCAAATAAGCGAATCCTTTATAAATAGAAATGGACACTAAAAGGCATTTTTGATAATAAAAGAAACTGTACACTATGTTAACCTGAAGCAGGCTAAAGAAAAACTGGAGACTGACTGCTTTTTTTTCAACGATTTCAACATTCGTGACTGAAACGTCCTTTCAGTTTAAGGAATGATATTCAGAATCGTTACAGCAGAGATTTTGTACACAAGACAAAACATAAAAAAATAAGAGAGAATTATATTTCCGTACGGCAATAAAATTTACATACAGCGTAGCCTTAACTTGAAAGGTTGAGCATGGAGATGGTTCCTTCATAAGCTAAGAGACCTAAAACTTCTTTAAGACAGAATTCTATCCAAAATTACGAAATAGCTCAAAATTGTCCTTAATTTCCCCTCACTTCCGCTCCACTTTGCTACGGTGATCGCATCCCATCGTGTTAAAAAATCTCCGCTGATCACTGGAATTGTATAGCGAAGATTAATTATAGTAAGCAGCTATTTCCATTCAGTGAGTTAGAGCTGTCCCATACTCTCTGCACATTGCACGTTTCGGAATATTTTATTTGTCAGTTTCGTTTATTTTCGCGGCGATTGCTGAGGTATGGATAAATTTTCATCGGTAACATGTCCTTTATACAGTGATGTTATGAAAGGGGACCCAAGTCCCACGTGGCTTAGGAAATATCAGGAAGAAGACGAAGAAGAAGCCGTGAAAAGGGCAATCAAGGAGTCGGAGATTTTCGTTTCATAAATATTTTACAACTTTTTTCTTTTTATTTCTTTTCAATCACTTTACTTTATCATTTTATCTACCCACTACCTTCGACCCACGACATTTAGCTACACTCAAGCAATACTTAAGTCTTAACAGATACTTTGTTTTCCACCTAGCTGGGCAATTACGTACTTGAATCTCAAATGATAAATGTAGGTACTCTATCCAAGGGTCACACAAGGAACTCAATACCAACAAGGGCAAGACCCTAAAAAAAATACCCTATAGGATGGCACATATCTATTACATCATACATCGAGCCATAATATGGATGAGCTTTAGAAACAACAAAGGCGCCAAAAAAGGCAATAACGCGAGATTAGCAAAACTTGAGAAACGTCTAAGCTTCGGTGGGCTTCGTAAATTCGGGACCTGTCGTCCGTCCGAGTCGTTTCAAAATATGTTCACGTGATCGAAACGATCATATCGAAATGCCTCTGACAAGACTGTCGATGAAAAAACGTTACCGCAATCGTCCGGGTAGGACTCAAGTACATCTATACCTGGACGATTGCGTGTCGCTCACGCAAAGTAAGAGATCATGTAGTGTGACACTCCACTTAGGCTAGGTCCACGCGAGTCCGGAAATTTTTTAAGCTGCATTTTTTTATTAAGGAGTTTTATCATCGACGACGGCTACGGCAGCTTCTAAAACGTCACTTTTAAAATGAATTAGCGTTTTTCAAACTTTATCGCGTTTATTCCAATTCACTGAAAATTTTTTATGTAGGCAAATTTCCCTGGAGTTGATTTCTTGGGGAACGCACTCAAGTTTAAAAAGAGAAAGAAATTTCCCTGTCGCTTGTTTACGCCCTCCATAAAACGTGAAAATAGGCATTTTCACGTCGTGGTCGTGCACCAACGGCAAAGAAATGTACAAAAAAGCGTGATGCACGTGCAAACTTGATGTTTTGCTAAACCTATCGCTGTTTTGACGTTCTTGTTGCCGTCGCCGTCTTCGTTGCTAAAACTCCCTTATATTTTCAACACGAATCGGCCCTATGTCCACATAAAACCAGTGAATCTGCTTATTTATCCGTGGCTTCTCTGTTGTGTAAATATGCGGTTTCAAAAGTATCCGGATTCCTTTCGACGGGGCCTTAATGTTTGCAGGTTCTAATTTTTCGATTTTTGTAGCTTTTTTTTTTCGCGATCCGCAAAAAAAGTTCCCGCTCAAAGAAAAGTATCGAAACATTTGACAGGAAAAATTTTCTTCCCTGAAGTAAAACACTAATATGAAAAAAAGCCAGTTAGGAGTTGGGGAATACATCAAGAGTTACTGCAGTCATTATTGGTCAACTGCCGGAGCAATCGAAGCAGTAATTGTTATAGAGTGAAAAGAATTAACGTATTTTACATCTCTGATTATCGTTTTACTCATATTTCCAGTATTTCGATTGCATGTAGTTTAATGAAAGAAGGAAAGAGTTGTACCACCGCATGAAAGCGAATTCCCCAAAACTGCAAAATTAAATCCCCAGAAAAAAAAAAAAGCAGTCTTTGAGAATCACAAAACTAAGTTCCCGCAAATTATACAAAAAAAATCGCTGATGTTAAACAAGTTTGAAAATTCCAGCGTGACGTCGGTGGAGAATAGTTTTGATACTTGACAAAACATGGATGTCCTGTGAACAGCTTTAAAAACGTGTCTCCAGAGTATTGAGTTTGTACAGTACATGATGAATTATTGTTTTCAAACCATGATTAATTCAAAAACGGAAACAAATACAGGCAAAAACCAAGAAAGCATTTCTGACTGGTAAAACCGTAGAAGAGGACAAGAAATTGCTTAAGGTAAGATTAAAAAAGTATCTGTGAGGTGACCGAACAGAATCTTGGTGGCTTCTCCTATCACTCGTAAACAGTTGCCTTTATTAGTAAACTATTTTTGTGTTTTCGTAGTCAAATTATCTTATATTGTTTTGAAATGAATTTGACCGACCGACATGGTATGGCTCATTTCAAATAATACCTTCCGATATATCACTGTAATTTGCTCCATTACATTAGCGACTTTTAGCAACTACAATAACAAGACCAAGGATATACTTTCTAAAAGTATTTCACTTTTTTTCCTGGTCGGTTATGCCATATGATTCAAATCCATTCAGGCGCAACAAGTCGACCACAAGACTTCGTCGTTCGCTCGGTTGCTGCGCGACATCATGCATTGAAACTCGCTCGCGCTTGCCTATGTGATTTAAATGACCAAGATCGTCGTACACTCATACGAAAAGCTTACATCTACGCTTACGGTAAAAAAGACAGCCAACTGTTTGTCTTGATACGTTCTTTACGTGAAGCTTATAGTTTGAAGTCGGACTCAACTTTACAAAGAACGGCACAGTGGCGGACCCAGAACTTTCTCCCAAAAATTTTTTGGTTTCTTTTGGTCTAAAATAAACGGGTTGCCGCCGAGGTAAAAGAAAGGTTTCCCGCGTACTTTTATCTGTCCGTTTCTTTCAAAATTTGTCCGACCCCGTTTAAAAATTTGTCCGACCCGTGTAAACCGGGGCTTAGAAAACAGAAAATAGAAGTTTTAATAGTTAGCAGACACATTACCAAATACACTGCTTTGTGGTAAATACGTTGGTAGCACTGCTTTTCGCCCACCATATCACAGGTGTATCGAACTGAAATTTTGATTAGCTGGGTTTTTCAGGAGAGGAGAAAACCGGAGTAGCCTTAGAAATTTCAGAGCCACGGGGAAAACCAAAAATAAACTCGACCCAAAGACATGTATGGCATCCCCTGCGGAATATAAACCCTGTTGGCCAGTTTCTCGAAAGTCCCGGTTCTTATAGGGCCCTGAAAGCTGCTGTGTGTGTACATTGAAGATCGAAATTTCGATAGTTTTACAGATTGATTTAACTGTCAGTTAACAAGACAAAATGGACTGGTTTGTTGGCTAGCCGCCATCTTAAATCACAACAAGGCTTTTGAGAAAGAGGCCCCTGGTCAAACTGTTCGGGGAAGTGGGTGCTCTCCACACAGTGACATCCTACCCCTACCCCCTACGGATCTCAGCTTACCCATGTCTTTGGTGAGGAAGTCAGCAGAGTTATTAACCTTGCTTGAATAAATGGGAAGCACATCTCGAAGAGCAGCAGCTCTGTAAACACTGAAACAGCCAGGGGAACACAGAACTGAGCCAAGCACATCGTTGCCAACCTTCAAATGATGAAATGAAGATAAACAGATTTAAGGCCCAGGTTCAACCAGAGATGGGTAGGAATGTCAATGCCGCAGAATGGACATACCGTTTAGTATAAACCACAAATCATAACGCAAAATTTTCACAGAAAAGAAAGTGCATTTGTTATTGGCTTTTATGGACTGAGGATGAGTATACCTTTTGAAACCAATGCCCTATTGCGTAATCAAAGACCTGGTACCACACGATAGGCCCAACTCCTAAGGGGTGTGTCCTTCCACACACTGCTCCTACAGATGGATCTCTTGACATCAGATCTAGCAATGCTTCCACTGATTCATGAGTGAATTTGACATCTGCATCTGTCGTCAAGATGTAGGTATTCTCATCGGTAACTGGTGGAAAAAAGACTCAAAGGTAAGTAAAAACAAGAAAATACACATATGATGTCGTTGCTACTATGACGAAACATAAATGCTTGAATTAGCGCCTACACGCCATTCACCCACCAAAATTAGCAGTAGCCTTGCAGCTCTTTAGAACCTCTAATTCAATTGGACCTCAATGGGCCGCATTTGTTTTGTTTTCGGGCTAGATTCCATCGTTAACTTAGTTTGTTTATTGTTTTGCCAACCGATAGCAAACCAATGCCGTGAGGGACTGCGAGTAGTCTCTTATGTTTTCTTCAAAGTTACTGGAGTACATTATATGGGTGAAGCTGTCCGCTGTGAGTTGCAAGAAACGAGGGTGTTAGTCCAATTAGGAAGAAAAGTCACCTTTTCTTGTCTCATCCCAGTCCCTTGAAGCGCCAGTTTTGTCCCAAGGTGCAAACTGCCACTAAGAACTCGACAGATCTAAGACCTATCCAAGTCTGAGTCCTTGTCTAATTAGACAGTGCATTTTATTGCTGTAATGACAAGAGCTACGTCTATCTTTCCGTCTCTCTCAGTCTCTACTGACTTGGCTCAGTATTCATACCTTCCATTATTTTCTCTTTCAAATCCAAGACATACGACATATACATTACTTGGCTCCAACGTTTCTTGTTCTTTACCTACAGTAACAGAAATTTTAGAGCAGAAGTAATATCAAACTAGACAGCAAATAAAGCAGGGGTACCCAACAGCGGTTTCTCCTAAATACATTGAAAACACTTTTTAGACTATCCAGAGTACTTTAAGATCTCTAGAAATGTCAACAGACTGGCGCCATAAAATTTGTATCTATTCGGTCAACTTTTTTAATTTACAAGGGCTTCAGTATTATTTTCCCGAAAATAAACATATGCAATTTAAAGTTTTACGAAAGTAAGAATTTTTCTGACTCCTCTCTACATCGCATTTTCGACTCCAAAAATTTTATGTTTACTTTTTCTGCAAAAAGTAGCTTAACCTGAAAATTAAACTTCAGAAAACCGTTGGGAATTTATGACATAAGCTTCGACAATTGTAGATGAATGGAACGGTCATCTAGAAATCTTTAGCCTTCGTCAAGCTATAGAAAATTCTAGGCAATATTTGCTTGTTATAAGTAAGGGTTTTCTAAAACATAACAGTAAAAATCACGGATAGAAAAGGACGTTTCGACCGATCTTCGGGCATTTTCAAGTAAGTAAAAAGTTAAAATAATTAGCATACCGGTATACAGTGAAACCCCGCCTTGCGGCCACCTCGGTAATACGGTCACCTCGTCGTTACGGCCACTTTTTTGGCCGCCCGGCAAAAACCGCCATACATTTTCTTGTAAAAAAACCCTCGTTAATGTGGCCACCCCGTTAATACGGCCAAATTTTGTTGGCCCATTGGTGACCGTATTGACGGGGTTCCACTGTATGTATAAGGTGTAAAAATATGTTAAGAAATACATAAAAAACTGTTTGAGAATGTAAAAGAACGAAGTAAAGCATGCAGAGAGAGAACAACAAAAGAATCTAATTAAAAGAGCTATTTAAAAAGCTAAGCTAACTCTTGTCAACCAGCAATGTCTTGTTTACACATTTGAATGTGACCCTGTGCGATGCAGGTTATGTAGGATACACATCTCGCCACTTACACCAGCGAATTGAGGAACACAAAAGCGCAAGTTCATCCACCGGTCAGCACTTTTGTGTTAAACATTCTTCAGCACCCAAAGATTTTAGTAATACTTTTCGAATTTTAAAGAAGTGTAAAAGCAAATTTGACAGCCTGGTGCTTGAAATGTTTTTGAGACCTAGTCTCAATGTACTGGTTAGAGCACTGCACTGAATTTTTTTCAGGCTTTCTTTTCCCACCTGCATTAAGTTAATATGTCTTTAATTGGGATGGTCTTATTTGAATTTTCTAAATCATATAGCCTTTCTTTGATATTTGTGGTAATAACCTACATAATTAATTTGGCACGCCATGACTAGCGTTTTGGCTAACTGCGTGCCAGGAAATTGTAATTAATTAATATTACCGAAATAAATTGTCTTGTCTTATCTTTCAAACCCACCTTCAAATTATCTTTCAAGTGGATGTGAAACAGCATACCCCCTGGAAGCTCCCATCTCATTTGCAATCCATAGGGGGTCTTAAGTTTCATACATGCCTCAATCCTAACTTTCAATGTCTTTGGAATCAACGAAATCAACTGCAGGACGTAGTTGTTCAAAACCTCCCCCTTGGTTGCCCCATCAAAGAATATATGAGACTCAATTTGACGCTTTGACTTTTCCCGTGCACAGTCAATGTCATGCAGGGAGTGGAGAAGTTGTTCCATCTCTTCTTCAATTTCATGGTACATTGTAGTGCAGATGTAGATGCAGGAGTTATCAACAAGTTCCCTCTGGTTGATCTGATAGTCATCTGTGTTTTTATTACGCCGATTTAGAAGAAGGTACTGCTCTAAAAACACACCTGCAAACACATTTTTTTTAAAAAATACAGTCACATTTTTACCAGGGCTAGATAAACCGAACCCATTCTCACCAAGAGGGGTAGGGAGACACAAATGGGGCAAATTGTTATTACCCCCAAGACCTTACAGGTAAAGCCATCTGATCCATAAGAAGTCCAGCAGCCCAAAACACTCCTACTCCTTTTTGAATAGTATGTAGGCAAATTGAAAAACTTTGATGTGTGCATTCCAAACTATCCTTTGAATTTTTTTGTGGTTGTTTAGATTTTAATAAGTATTTTAGATTTACAAGTCATTAACAAGATATGCATTTACCTACCATTATATGTTGGCATCCAAAACAAACTTGATTCTTTGCCCATTATGAAGCCTGGCTCCTTAAACACATAATACCCAACAGAGAGCAGCTGTGCCAGCCAAAATAAAATACCAATGACAGCAACATACCCAATGGTGGTATCTGAATCAATGCTGTCAAAGGGAAGAATATTCCACACTGTATTATGAATCTCAGCCAAGACTAAAGAGATGGGTGTGGCAAAAAACATAGGAAGGGCGAATGCTAGTCGTTGCATGCACATAGCACAGGCCAATATTCCCAACAGCTGTCCAATTAAGCTTGTGAATATCTGTGCCATGAAATGAGGAAATGCAGGATTATCAGTTGTGAAATCCTTAAATCCTTGTGACAACTTATTTAAATTAGCCGTATCATAAACATAAGCAAACAGTGCACACATGAATGGAATCAAAGTAAGTTTCCATAAACTGTTAATGATAGCAGCTTTTCCACGTGCAGATTTCACATTAACAGCTGCATCAAGTATCGTGGTCCCTGGAGGAAGAGGCACAGGCACCCACCCAATTCCACTGTGGTGGACGTACTTGCAGTGTTCTCAAGGCCAGGAGCTGCATTTTGTTGGTCTCTAGCTGGTTCCATGACATACTTGAACACCTTTGGGCACCAGGCAATTGAAACAAATACAAGAGCTACTGGAATGACCCAAACAACTTTTTCTTCTGAAATGTCTTTTTGTGCCTTTAAATTGAAAAAAAACCACATGTACACAAAAACAAATTAAGCAAGATGTCGTATACCCAAAATATATTGGTGTCACATGTCACCTTTACCTCACAATAATGGCTACCTGTGGCTCTTTACAGTGGCTTCTTAGCTCTCTTCACAATGTGACCATTATGGAGATGTTCGACTGTATAATGCTATCACTAAGAAATTTTGATATATTTTTGGGTATGAGTGATTGCAATAAATTTTGCACTCGCTTTTATTTCGCTCTGCTTGTTGACCTTTGCAGATCACAATTAATTTGCATCGGCAGTTTTGCCTATTGTCACTGTTAATACTTCAGGCCCAAGCTATTATTGTGGATTGCTTTTCCCTCTTCTCCCACTCAGCTGTTAAGTATGGGTTACCGGTTTGAATTCCAATGATTTTTCAGAGTGATTGTGTCAGGCGGTTGCGACCCTCACAGTTGGTTGCCATGAATACCTTGCTATTACTGCTGCAAACTGTGCATTAACCATCTTTCAAGGCACCTCCTACCAGCACTCATCATTTATTGATGAGCTTGATAGGTGGTTACCTTGAAGTTACACTGTGGTATTAGCATTATATGCATTATACTACTACATGAGAAATTTCTGCAATTTGATTGGCTTGGAGCAGTGGTATTTCAGCTTAATTTTAAATACGTACCTACTTGTGAAAATTACAAACCTTTCGTGGGTAGCATTATAAACAAATAATAGCATGATTGGTATGTAATATTTGGCACAAATACCACTTGTGATGTTTCAAAATGGTCTCAAATTTCACCTGCCCTATGTATAACAATTTCGAAATATCACTCATGGTATTTATGCCAAGTATCACTACAAATCATACTATTACCTATACTAATAAAACAAATGCAACTTGCATTAACTGGCTGGAATAGATTTAAATGGATAAGACAAAAAAACAAAAACCAAAACTAACATTCAGCACCTTGTTAATCTGCCAACTACATAAAATTATGTTCTTACCCGATACATAAGCACAGAAACCCCTGCTATTTCTAAAACAAGGGCAACAACAAATGTGATCAGCCGGTTAAAGAAGGACTGTTCTAGCCATGGCCTATTTTTGTAAACTTGCCACAGCACTGGAAAAATAAACACTCCATTCATCATGAGAATGCGTAAGCCAGGTGAAAAGTGTGGGTGAAATAGGATGACAACAGCAAAGAAGCAAAGGCCAAACACTTCAAGCACACCAACTAGTAAGCCCTGTATAAAGAAAGCAATGAAACAAAGAATAACCCTAGCTAAGAGACTATAATTATCAGTAGATAAACAAGTACTTTACAACCTTTACGAATAACAAAAAATTGAAATCAGGCTCTACAAGTATTTTGCTCAGGTGGAGATGTATAACAGCAAGAAGGAGGTGCAAAGCCATTTTGGGTTAAAATTTGAGATGCTGAGAACTTCTTTAATTGGCTTAGATCATGTCACTTTTGAGTAAAAGACTTTTGTGCACACTTTTTGCTAGGGTTGGTCACAAAATGCATAATCCAAGGATCCCATTTTGACATCAAAAAAGATCAGCTTCTCTTGGGTCACATTCTGAGACACTGCATGTTTTTTTGGATGAATTAAATTGCCCTAATTTACAGTCAGTAAGATTTCTCAATCTTGACATCATCTCTTCAAGTGAGACTTTAATGGGCAGAGTGGTCTCATTTAAATGGCCTATAAAAGTTCAGGCATCCATCATAAAGACTGTATAACCACAAAAGAAAACAGCTTGAGCTTCTCCTTTGTAAGCAGTATTTTGCAGTGTCCACTCAAGTATGTTCCCACAAAATAATATTGTCCCAGCTGGCTAATATGGCTCATGTGTTAGCCCATATTGGTTGGGTACAATATATATGGTGGTTGATTATGTTGCTAACTACAAATAATTAACAATTATTATTGGACGAGGTTAAGCAAAATATCGTGATTTGTCTGTGGCAAGCTCCTTTGCTAAGAGAACTCCACTGGCTACCAGTGCGCTTGCGCGTAGATTTAAGATTCTCCTTGTTACATTTAAGATTCTTCACGGTGTTGCGCCTAGCTATCTTAAGGATCTTGTCTCTGTCTTACCGGACTCACGTTACCAACTACGCCGTAACAATAATGGTATATTGTTAGAAAGACCTCGGCTAAGAACGAAGAAGACTTTGGGAGATCGCACGTTATCAATGGCTGCCCCCTTTTTATGGAACAGTCTTCCTCTGCCAATAAGACAGGAAACATCAATCGACTCTTTTAAACGCTCTGTTAAAACATATTTATTTAAGAAGGCTTTTAGTTAGATTATTTATTTATTTATTTATTTTTAAATATTGTAATTTTACCGTGTAATTTTACTGGTTTTTAATTTAGTTATTAATAATATTGTAATGCGCTTTTGAGTATTTTTATAGAAAAAGCGCAATATAAGTATTAAATATTATTATTATTATTATTATTATATAAATTATTTGCCGAAGCCGAAGGCTGAGGCAAATAATTGATCTGTGAGACACTGACAAATCAAGATATTTTACGATAACCGAGTTCAATAATTCTTTTATCATTGGATCACCGAGTTTGTTTTTTTAATGAATATCCGCTGGAAGCGAAGCGATCTGCCATTTTCACGCAAGAGTGATCGCAAGAAGGAGAGAAGCACGGTTTCCTTTATGCATGTGCGGAATATTATTTGCAGCCAAACACAGTTGGACGGCATTGCGCATGAGCAGACCATTATTTGAAGGCAGTTATTTGCAGGTCAAGTGGTGGGCTCTCGGCCAATGAAAAGAAAGAAAAATTTGCTTTGAATGATAATCTGTCTTAGTGACACTTAAGGAAAGGGACTCCAAAACAGTTACTCAATCTAGAGGTCCAAACTACAGTTTTGAATTGAATGGAATTTTCCCCCGTTTTTCAAAGCTCCAATTTTCCCCCGTTTTTCAAAGCTCCAACTAAACCAAATGTATGGCACCAAAAATTATCCATACCTCCCCCATGGAAGGGATTTTTCCTTGCCCCCACCCCCCCCACCACCACACTGGAAATTCCAGTCACACTTCATACATTTAATTAAATTTATGGGCCCTTGAGACCCCCCACCTCCCAGGAATTTCCAATCCCTTCTGTGGGGGGAATATGGGTATTTTCTGGAACTATGCAACAATCATTACAAAAAAACCTGTTGAACACCCCCAAACATCACACTTCTCTCGACAGGAACCGTTTTCCTGGACCCAAACAGGAACTACAGTATTAGGGGCAAGATAAGGATAAGGCACTAATGTAGTGGTCAAATTAAATCTTCAATATCTCTCCGCAACCCCCCTCCCCTGCAAACCCTGCGCATTTGACACGGGGTCCAACATGGCAAGTTTAGATAATTTAAAAGGGAATTGGAGGATCAGCTGAGAGGCAAAGGATTACACAAGCTTTACCCTGTCTGCAGACTCAGCTTCAAGAGTATTAGGCCCTGATAATATGGACAAAAGTCGTCCTGAGCCCTGGCAAACCAACATTTCATGCATTCCTTGCAAGACGTGGCATAGCCTGCATTGCAGGTGTTTGAAAGGAAAGGGAAAGGGCGTTTTGGACTCGACAGAAACGCGAGGGGCACGCGAGGAGGGAAGGAGGGAGGGAAACGCCTGCCAGGAAACCATTGTTTTCGCCATCCCGCCTACTAATTATGTATGCAAAAATAACGCAACAGTGAATGACTAGCTGTCAAATAAGTCTGGCCGCGATGCACTTATTTAAGTCATATTTCGCGTATTGTAGTTCTTTTGTTTTTCTAAAACAAGAAATATGAATTGAAGGTACTATTAAAAAAAGTATAAATGCGGTCGTCTGTTGAAGGAAGAAAGTCGCAACCATGCTTGGCTTGTTATATAAAATCCAGCATAAATCGATTACGTTTTAGCTGAAGGTATCGTGTTGGACTTCACAACTTACATGCAATGTTTGTCAGAGAAATTAATTACAAACACTTTGCTGACTCTCGAACTGGATCCAGCGGAGTATACAAAAGAACGCTGGTAGCAGGGAAAGAAGAGCTGAACTTCAAAGATCTACAATAAGGCTAATTCTGCAAACCGTCAATATTATTATTAAAGTAAGTTCCTGGCAGCTTTATAACGTCCATAACCAGCAAGCAGAAGTCGTCAAACCAAAAATCGCTAAGGATTATGCATCACTTCGTCTTCAACATATCTGGTCGTTGATAAAGGATAGCCTGTGTGGTAGGCGTTTGAGGTCAAACAGCAGATAACAACCACACAGGCAGCATGATTTTCCCTTTCTTTCTTCTAGTGAGTAAAACAAGCCATTGGGAGACAATACTTCTCAAAACCAGTCAGCAAAACTCATCTGGCTGACAGGTCTTTTCCTTCATACGAGTCTTTAACTGCTTTCTTCTATTCTCCTTTCAAGCTGAAATTGATGCCTTCAGTTTCTAATCGTTCTAAAACGATCAATTCCATACAGAAATCTCATCACGCCTCACTAACAGAATATTTTTAAATGATTACTGAAAGATCGATTAAGTTACTCAGTAGCATGATATTGATTTCAGCCAATCGGATTAAGGTATTAAGGTTGTGATTGACATGTTTTGAAGACGGACCAATTAGAATTTAACATTCGCCTGGTGGATGTTAAAAACGAGAAAAACAATGGTCTCCTGGCAGGCGTTTCCCTCCCTCCCTCCTCGTGCGCCCCTCACGTTTCTCTCGCACCTAAAACTCCCTTTCCCTTCCCTTTCAATCGCCTGCCACACAGGCTAGATGTGGCAAACCATTACATGACAAAGAAAAAGTTCGCTCAGCTCGAAGGCTGACCCCCCCTAGCCGGGTCACCTTTTTGGGATGGTAGGGTAACCCATCCTAGCTGGGCCACTTTGGTTGTCTTTACACTAGGCTGCTGCTAAGTTTTACTTAACCAAAAAATACGTGTGAAGGCCTAAGTGAAATCTCAAGTAACTTTACTTTGCAACTCATTAAAGTCGGAAAGTTGAAACAATTCAAGAAAGTTTCAAGTGACTTGAAAACCATCCTTAAAACCGACTTAGCGAACTTGCGGTTTCTAAGCTTTGAGAAAGGCGAAGCATGTCAATCAATCTTAATTATGTTGTGTGGGAAAAATAGGCTTAGGTAAACCTGAAGTAAAAAAGGTAGGTTGTGTGTGAAGCTTTCTTTACTTGAAGAATATAAAATTTACTTGTCTTGAAATATTTCTTAGCTTATTTAGGCTCTAGTGTAAAGACCAAATGAATTCTTCGGCTTGCCCAGACAGGTCAACTTGGTTAAGGTGAGACATTATTATCAGAGTGCCATTTCAGACTATGCAGAGCAGAGCATGCAGGAGCACTGTTGCATCGGGCAAGCATATAAACTCTTGCTTAAGTTGAATTGGATGGGAGGGTGACCCTTCTTCTCAGGAGAGGTTTTCTTCATATCCCCTGAAAGCCACAATAATAGTTAAAACATAATGCCTCGTCTAGAACCCAAATTCTACATAATTAGTCTGAGTACGGCCCTATCAAAGACAAGAAACTTCAAAAAATTCGTACCACACAACAAAAACAAGATACGGAACAAACAGGTGCTTACCACCAAGATAGCTCTTGTCCGAGGCCATTTGTGACCTGAGCGAAAAAGACTCGTCCAACAAGCTTTAAAGAATGAAACAGCCTCGGGGATCATCAAGGTCAATACAATCATAATAAAAGAAGTTTCTCGCTGATCTTTCTTGTAATACGCGATCGACAACAAAGAAACTTTGCTGGCGACGAGGCAGGTTAGCACGGTAAAAAAGAGGAAAAACCCGACCAACCATTTCACAACTGACAAAAATATCGGTGGCCTTCGATCCTTCTCCTTTTCACGATGGACCTTTGCAGTTTGTTGGACTGTGTATTCAATCTTGTGAGAGGTGCCTGCATTCTGTATTCTATCCGCAGAGCTCATTGCGTCGTTACTTAGAGGAATTGACGTTGCAGATTGCAAAATCCGAGCTCCTCTTTGCACGGAAATTTCTCTTGTTTCTCCGAAATGTAGGAAGGGAGCCCGCAGACTAATAACAGACGTGAAATTTGACGCGCTTCCGTATTCCGCAATGCGACGAGTTCATGCACGTTTTTTTCTGCGAAATTTTGCGCACAGGCAGCCCAGACTCCGTACCTACTGTTGGAGAGGGGGCAAGAACTAACAAATACCAAGAGCTATTTGACATTC